CACAGAACGAAACAGAAGAGATTTCGGGAAACGAATAAATTTTTAAGTGTCCCAGAATTTATGAAAACAGCTGTAATTGATCTGAGCAGTTCTCTCAATGTGAAGTAGTTATCGACCAAACCGATTAGGAAAGCGAAATAATGCCGATTTGAATTTTAGTCTATCAGAGTAACTAACTCTATGAAAAAAGATGGTCTGCACTTCCATATTTTATGATAATTTTCTTGGTTAGTTTTTCCGACTTATTAAAATTTTGTCTCAGATCCATTGAGCGAGGCGTTCGAGAATACGCACAGTTAAATTGTAAAACTTAAACCTGAAAAAAAGAATTCCAACAAGAATTTTTGTTAATTTAATAATCAAAGTATGGAAATTGCACAGAGAAAGGTGTACAAATGCTAAACAGGTAATATATGCTAATTTCTAAAATCATCAACTTTTAATATCTTTCAAGGATTTTTTCCAGGCACCCTTATTTATTCGGTCTATTTCTCTATTTTTAACATTAGGTATTTTATCCCACAAATCAGAATGATTGGTAATATGGGCATAATGTGTAGGTGGATAATGGAATTGATCAGCTGAAGAAAATTTACCATTTAAATATTCTTTTCCTTCCAAAAGTTTATCATGGGCTTTTGAGTTTTTACTCGTATATTTCACATATATCTCTTGAAACACGATTTTTGAGACCGATGGATTATATAGTATGAGACAAATCGGCTTTTGAAAATCGTGAGGAACTAAGATCATATTGTATTTTCCTTGATATTTAGACGTTAAATAACGACAAATTGCACAAGATTCAGTAATTTTGAATCACCATCGTAAAGAACTGGAACTTTTCCGCTATAATTAATGCCGTAATTGATTAATAATTAAATTAATATGCTTTGCTGCATGAAAATTGAAGTAGCTAATCGAGAACTTCTAATACGTAGACTGATAATCGCCAACTAATAGAAAAAGCCAATACTTTTACTGATCATTGATATACAGTAAGATCACTGTGGCGTAGGTCGAAAACTAAGTACGTAATACAAGAACTAAATTCGGATAATTATACAGAATAAAAAATCTTAATCTACGGAGGGTGTTACGAACATAACAACGTAATGAATAATGCAGAATTGCATATTTTAAGCTGAACATCGCATACAAATAAATTTACATTGTCTATTAAACCTCAACTTTATTGTATCAAATTAATATGTATGACGAAGTTCCCATCCTCCAAACTAAAATAATTAAAGATGATGTATACCACAAAAATTATAAAGAAATGTTTAGTATGGTAGAAACTCTAAATGAACGTTTAAATTTAGCAGTTAAACAAGGTCCCGATAAAGCAATCGATCATCATCTTAAACGTGGACAATTGTTGGTTCGTGATAGAATCGATCTTTTATTAGATGAAGACTCACCATTTTTAGAAATATGTCCTTTAGCGGGATGGGGTCAAGATGATATGACATTAGGTGGTTCAAGTGTTGCAGGTATCGGTCTTGTTTGTGGAGTAGAATGTTTAATAAGTGGTAACGTCCCAACATTATTTGGAGGTTCTTCTAATGAAGTTAGTGTAGAAAAAGGTGTTAGGATTAGTACTATAGCTCGGCAAAATAGGTTACCTTTAATTCAATTAATTCAAACTGGTGGAGCTAAATTAGAACAGCAATCTAAAGTTTTTCATCCAGGTGGTGCTCATTTTCGAAGTTTGGCCGAACGCACAAAAGCCGGTCTTCCTACTTGTAGTATAGTGTTTGGTAGTTCAACAGCTGGTGGTGCTTATTCACCTAGTTTAACTGATTATGTTATTATGGTAAAAAATCAAGCTCAAGTGTTTCTTGGTGGACCACCGCTTGTTCAAATGGCTACCGGTGAAATTGTTGATGCTGAAAGTCTCGGAGGTGCAGATATGCATAGTAGAAAGTCTGGTGTTTCTGATCAACTTGCATTAGATGAGCATGATGCCATAAGTAAAGCTCGTGAATTTATTTCTAGACTTAATTGGGAAAAAAAAAGGAAAAATTCCCTTAAGTCATCTTGCGCCACGAATAGATGAACCTTTATATGATATTGGTAAATAATTTTTGGTTTATGATTACTTTTAAAGATTAATATATATAATATACATGCGTATTTTACATTATTATTATTATTATTATTATTATTATTACAGATGAGCTTCTTGGAATCGTGTCTGCAAATATTAGAGTGCCTTTTGACGCTAACGAGGTTATCAATCGTATAGCGGATGGATCAAGATTCACGACATTCAAACCTCTTTATGGTCCAAATATAATCACTGGTTGGGCAGCTATTCATGGTATAATACGTTATATTATTTAACATCAAATATGCCTTTTAAGTGTTATAATTCATGTGTTATTATAAAATATTCACATTCATAGGTTTCCAAGTGGGTATAATAGCCTCTAATAATGTTTTATTCATTCCGGAAAGTAATAAAGCAACCCAATTTATTCGAATGTGCAATATGATGTAAGAATTTCCAAATTTTTATCCTTATATTCATTTTACCCTACATATATTTTAATTCATACAATTTTTAATGTTGTGATAAAGGAATGTACCACTCATATTTCTTCAAAACACCACAGGATTCATGGTAGGTAAGAAATATGAGGAGGACGGGATAATTAAAGCTGGAACACATTTTGTTAATGCCGTTAGTAATAGTCAAGTTCCTGCTATCACTATTATGATGGGTGCATCTTATGGTGCAGGAAATTATGCTATGTGTGGTAGAGCTTATAATCCAAGGTAAAAACACAATAATGAAATATGTGAAAAATCATTACCCAATTCACTTTAAAATTAATTTATGGAAATTTCGAACTCTATAATTTATTTTTCTAGATTTTTGTTTTCATGGCCAAACAGCAAATGTTCAGTAATGGGCCCAGATCAATTAACCGGAGTTATGGATTTAATTTCTCGTGAATCTGCTGCTAGGTAAAGCCTTACTTGATTTTCTTATAATGACTTTAACATTCTTATAGGTCTTTTACTTTTCAAATAATTCGAAACTTTATAAATAGAGCTGGCAAAAAAATTGATGAAAAAGTAGCCGCAAGAACTAAAGCTTTTTTGTCAAGTATAGTGGATCAAGAATCTGATGTTTATTGGACAACATCAAGGTTATTAGATGACGGAGTAATTGATCCAAGAATGACTAGAATTATTTTGGGATTCTGTTTAAGTGTTATTTATAATGAGAAAGTTAAAGGTGGTAACTTAGGTGGTGTTAGTAGAATGTAAATTACGAAATTTTGGTTTATATATTTTAAAAAAATGGCATTTTTCCGTATACAAGAAAAGCTTTGACTCCTTCCGATTATAATATACTGTATAGTTGAATATTAGAATTGTTTATAAATTACTTAAATGATAATGAATCAAAAAAATTATCATTATTAGTTTGATCGCATAAATTTTTAAATTGTAAAGTGAATAAATTCTAAAATTTTAAACAAATTGTATAATATTTATTTATACGCGTTGCTCCTGGTGTGAGGTTTTAGTTTAATATAATATTAAAAAGTTTTTTTATATATTAGTCATCCGATTTGTCACATTTTCGAGTTACATAGGATATTGTTAAACATCGCAGGTTGCTATATCGCAGGAATATGACCGATTAGTGATTTAAGCCACATGGTTTTGGTCAGCTGGCTTAGCCACCTAACCAAAACATCGGCTAAGCGGCTTATATTAGATTTTTCCTTATGCCGGCAATACTAATTCTTAATGCCGGGCCAACGAATCCTTAATGCCGAGTAGTGATCCGCACGGATCGGATCGGACGGATATTATTAAAGATCCGAACCCGATCCGAAAAATCGGATCGGATCCTAGTTAAGATTCGAATTTGGGTCAAAGATCCGGATCCGGATCCTATATAAGTGACACACAAACTTCAAATCATATCGATATATTTATGTTGTGTCTTGGATTAATACTTGCGTTAGATTAAAATCATTAAGCCAGCATTAACTTAGTTCTCACCCTAACCCTAACTCTAATTTAGGCCAGTTTTAATCTGACACAAGTATTAATCTGAGGCACGATATTTATATAATTGAAGTTTTGTTTTTGATAAAATCAATATATATTTATTTCATAGTACGTATTAGAATAACAAAATATAAGCTTAAGTAAAATATCGTTGGTTGTGTAATTAGTTTAGTGAGAAGTATATTTTAAAATCTTATAGTTGCTAAATTTTATTGTATAGATTTTAATATAATAAAATGAATATTCAACATTAATAAGCTTAGAACTAATTAAAAGCATAAAATATATATACTTCTGAAGCAAAATCTGGTCACGATCCATCACAAATCTTTATTGCAAAACTATTTTTAAATTTATAACAAAAAAAGTTTAATTATTTTTAACATACTAATTCTAAAGTGATAAACATAATTGATTTTTTTAAATCAATTTTTACTTGATAAAACTGTGAGTACAACTTTATAACTATCTTTTTAAATATCTAAATTATAAAATAAAATAATAATAATATCAGTTATTTACTGATTAAATATTTGTTTTATTAAAAATTAAATCTTGAAAACTTCTCTCTTTAGATATATCAAATATAACAAACTACTTTAAAAATATAATATTATCTTAAAAATTAATACAATTGTATTAATAAATTATACCAATAGTGTTTAATGCTATAGTTACCTTAATTTTAACCTTAATATTACTTTGGTATTGAGCATGATTAGTATAATTTAAAAATAATCTAAAATAATATAACAGTATATACATATATTATTTATCAAGTTCTCTTCACTATTATCTTAAATATATAGTTATTTGTACTGTCTTTTTATTTAACTGATTTATTTTTTAATTAGCATATCACTACTAATACTAAATATTTGTTTATTTGGAATACTTGTAGCTAATATTAGAAGGTAGTCTCTAGTAAATTTTGAAAAATTTAGATAATTAGCTTCATTAAGTCACTACTATTCTAAAATATCTATTTTTGGATCTGCAAGTGATACACTTAAGTATATATCAAGTTTACTCTGCTATTTATAATGAGTTCATTTATAAATTTGTAATAATATATTCTCAGTAGATAGTTCAACTATAGGATTTGTTAAATCTTAACTAGAAACAAGTATATATACTAGTTGAATATATAAAAATTAACTACTAATTGTTTTAACTAATTTGATATGAATTCAACTATCAATATTAAAGTAATAGAAAGCTAAATTTTATTAGAAATTGACTTATAATCAGTATTTTTGTTAAATTTTAAGTACTGATTTCTAATAAAATTTAGCCTTCAATCATCCTAATTTTGACAAGTAAATTCATGTTAAATCAGCTAAAACAATCAGTAACTAATTTTTAAGATAATTTAAAAAGCATTTAGCAGTTGAATTTTATGAAAAATTAGTATACTTTTAAGTACTGATTTCTAATAGAAATCAGCTAAAAATTGTCTTAAGTTTAACTAGCAAATTCATATCAAATCAGTTAAACAATCAGTAATCAATTTTTAAGATAATTCAGAATATATTTAGTGATTGAATTTTATGAAAAATCAGTATACTATTAATTAATATTCAACCTTAGTTTAATAGTTAAATTAATAACAAATATTTATAACAATAACAAAATTTTGACAATATAATTATTGATTTATTAATTTTTTATTATATAATAATTAATTTAATTAAATAAAAATATATATTAAATTTAATAATATAAAAAAAATTTATACTTTTTTTTTTTCTTGTTGAGCTTCTTCAAGAGAAGAAGCTAGTTGTTTATAGCTTTTATTATTACTTCTCTTATTATTCCCTTTATCTTTACTATCATTATTACTATTACTTTATTAGTCTCAAGTTCTTCACTCCTACTTATTACTTTATCTTCTTCAATTACTTCATTTTCTGTAATTACTTTGGCTTTTTCAATTTCTTTAGCTCTAGCTACAGCCTAATTAGGAATATTGTCTAGCTAATCAACTTTTAATATTTCTAAAGTTTAGCATAAATATTTATACTAGAGTTCTGTAGTCTGATTGAGAATATTATGTAAAAGTTCTGATAACTAAATATAGAAATTTAAAATAACTTAAATTAAATTATATAATAATAGTTAATTTGACTTCAAAACTAATTTAATTCTGTACACAGAATTAAATTAGTTTTAGAGTTAATATTTAAAAAGAATAACTAATATATATACCTTGAATAACCTTTAGAAAGGTTATTAATATTAATATAAAGATTTCTCTTATTGTTTCTTTCACCCAATATGTCAGATAATTTGAGTGAGTGAACTTCATTATTTGCTAACAACTTTTTCACTTTTTTGACATTATATCCTTTAATATATTTGTCTTTCTTTGCATAAAGGAACTTAAATACTTTGGTATGTTAGGTTATTTTCTACAAAATTAAAAAATTTATTTGAAAGTTATTGTTATTTTATAATTCTAAAATATCTAAAAAAATTTTCTTTTCTAAAATCTTATCAATCCTAGGATCGATAAGATTTTAGAAAAAAAAATTTTTTAGATATTCTAGAATTATGAAAATAGCTGTAATAAATTTAGAAGAAAAAAAATTGTATATCAACTCACTAATAATTTTAGTATATTTTTTCATCAAAATATATACTCTGAACTAGGTCTTAGCAAAGTGACTAAGTATTTCTAGTCAATTTGAGACATTGTTAAAGAATATTACTGATTTCTGTTCTATCTGTATTATATTTTTTGCTCAAAAGTTCAAATAATATAGAGACTGTATTTTTTATCAGGTGGTCCTTTTGTTTAAGCTAGGTTTTATCATAATCAATGTTATATTTGTTACCTTTTTTTTTTTAATATATAAAATAATTCTTTCTATTTAAGAAATTAAGAATTATTAATTTATATATTTTTATATAATGATAAGTGCTACTAAAGAAAAATCTGTAAGTGAATATTTAAGTTATTACTAATCATATTATTTTTAATATAATTAGGAATAACTTAAATATTCACTTACAAATTTTCTCTTAGTAGTATTTATATCAATAAATACTTAAAGTTTCTTTTTTCAAGTTGTCTCATCTCTAAATACTGATTGAGATGTTTTTGCTCTATTTAGTTCTTGTTAAGTACTTTCAGCTGATTTAGCTATATTTTCTTCTTTCTATTTAAATTGATCTTGAGGTTGCTAGTAGTTCAAAATATGCAATACACTAACTTTATTAGTTAATGATGAAATAGATTCTGATAATATAGTAACTGTATCAGATAAATGTAAAAAATTATTTTGAAGAGAATGAATTTCATTCTATAATAGAAGGTTTTCTAGAATTAAAAAAAAATAATAATAAATTAATTATTAAAAAAAAATTATATACAAATAAATATAAATATTACTAAGTGAAAACTAGAAAGTTGAAAATAGATTTATCTATTTTTTAGCTTCTTGGTTTTTACTTAGTGATATTCATATATACCTTCTTTTAATCTTTAATTTCTTTTGACTAGATCAAATTCTCTTTCTTTCTATAAATTAAAAAAAGTAAAAGGTATTAATTCTCTATTGATATGAGATGATTTTGCAGGTTAGCTTTAAGATTCAAGAGGTAATTGGTGTTAAGATACAACAGATTGTCTTAATTGCTAAAGTAATTCACCTAAGCTAGGCTCAGTAGAGATAGGTCAAAAAGAAGTAGATCTTGGTTAAATAGTTGAACAGATAAAAGTAGAAGTAGAAGAAGTTTATTGAGTCATAGTTAAATATTGAATTGTAGTATTAAAAGTTAAAATAGACAGTTGGTTTGTAGATTATTTATTATATAATTTAGATCTTTTTAGGATGTATATTGTTTAATATATATATTATAAATATGCAGAGTTTTAGTTAATCTTAGAAATGATTTTTATCAGAGTAGTTATATCCTTATTTTACAGATTTATTTAATTTAAAATTTTGTGATATTTGTATAATTTTAGATTCTATTATAGTTTTTTACTAGTTAGTTAACTTAATCTTTTTTTAGTATTTAACTAATTATCTTATTTTTCTGTTTAGTAACTTCAAGGCTTTATACTTTTATTAGATTAAATTTTCTTTTTAGATTAGATTTTAGCTAATATAATTTTTTAAAAAAACTATATTATTTTACTAACTTAAGATTTCTATTTTGTAGATTTTCTGCATGTATATTCTATTAATATTTATTTATATAATATTATATTATATTTTCAAGTTCAGATTAATTTA